TCCGATATGTCTCTATAATTTGAGTTGATTTCTAATATCTCCTTTTAGTTATAATTTGATAAAATTTTCGATTAAATTAATCATGTAATTTGTACATGATATGTAATTTGATAAAATTATTTTTGTTACTTGACACAAATAATCTATATCTACTAAGATAAAAATTAATCGAAAATTTTTATCAGAATGACATATTAGAAATCAGCTCAAAATATAATGATAGATTGAAAAATTGACATATTATATAACGACAAGTAATGATATTAACTCTAAATATAATTTAGTCTTTTTAATTTTTGAGAAATGAATGAATTAATTCTTTTTATTTTACAAAAATAATTATTTAGTCATTTAATCAATATTAACTAAGCTTAATTTAATATAAATTTATTTCAAGAAATGTCTTTTTTCTCACAATCTTTTCATAATATCTATTTTTTTTCTATTTTTTAAACAAAAAAATCAAAAAATTAAAAAAGAACATAAAATAGACAAAAAAAATAATTATTAGTTTTTGAAATAAAAAAGACTAATTAATTCGTTTCTCAAAACTAGAGAGAATAATTTGTAATTTACTCCAAATCTTTTGGACAAATGAAATCTTCATTTCTCTCTAAGAAGTTAAAAAAAAAAAAAAGAAAGAATAATTCTAAGAGCTGAGCAAATGAACGGAGCTTGGGCCTTCCCTGTATTGTCTTGTGATAGAGAGCTAGCCACTCCAGTTCATCTTGAGTCTAGCCCGTGTAGTAATAATTGAACTGGACCTTCCACATTCCAAGCCTTATGGTGATCTGTCAATGTCCGCTTTTCAGTAGTATTAATTTTCATTTTTTCTTTATAATTTTGTAATTATGAGTACAATTTACAAGCTAAATATTTTTATGTTTTTTAACACATATAAAATTAACTAATTATCACAAAACAATATAATAAAATAATAATGAAAAAGTTAAGATAAATAAATTAAATAATCACTAGAGAGTAACCAAAATGCTTTTGGGATACTATTGAAAATGAGCGAAAATACCCATATTTAAAAAAAAATGATAGAATAGTCCTTGGTGTAGAAAATAACCAAATTGCCCTTGTTTATTGTCGGAGGTCGTTGTCATTCTTTCGGTCAACAATCGATGCATGGATCACTCCGCCTTGTAGGGGATGTCCGGGCGAACTCGTTGGTTCCGGAGATGGCCACTATCACCTAAGGGAGGAGGTCCACGACGAAAAGCTTCAACCGATCCCCTCCTTCTTCGATTAATTTCGACTGAATTTATTAATGGTTTTCAAGGCTTAAAATAGGACCAGAATAACCCCTAGGACTTGTTAGAGCTTCGTTTTGGTAATTGGATGACTTGATTTGGCCAAAAAAATGGAAAAGAAAACCCGCCACAAGCCACGAGTCACATAGGTCCGAATTCGTGATCGGTTTCCTTCCTCCCTCACTATTTTCCATCATTTATATTGGTGGAGAAGGGTTGTCGAAGGCTAGGGGAGTAGTTATGTGGTGGCAATTGCCATTGATATCACTGGACAATAGACGATTTGGGAGGAGCTTGTAACTAGGTCTAAACGCAAGTCGGATCGTCGATCTTTTCTTCTCCATTTCTCCCTCCTCTAGGGTCTTATTCTTCTCTAACCAATCGAGAATGACGGATCTAGTGGTGGGTTATCGATTTGTGATGGTGAATCAAAGTAATTTTGATCGAAAGACGATTGATCGACAAGTCTACGGGTTGACTTGCCGATGACTCGGGTTGGTAGCATCTTTTTCTTTTCTTTTCTTTTCTTATTCTATTGGGATTTGTGTCCTAAAAAAATTAGAGAGATGATGAAAATAAACTTTCTACATTTTATTTATTTATTTATATGGTTAGAGGTGATGGGTATTTGTGATTAGACTAGTTTTGTGATAGGTGAATAATAGATGCTAGATTATTTTGGTAGGAGATGGGTGATAGAGGCTAGGTTTTTTGGATAGAAAGATGAGTGATGAAGACTATGATTTTTGGGGTAGGAAAATAATAATGGAGGCTCTTAAAAATAAAGGGAAACGTGTTTATATAAAGAACTTTTAGGATTTAGGGATAAAACCAATTTAGGTCATTTGGATTATTTTTCTCAATTTCAATGTATGTTTCATCTTTTTTTCTCCAATTAGCTATTTAATTGAAATTGTTTAATCCATGTTCTTTGATTTTTTTTTTTTTAAGAGTCACATTGATTAACTCTCAATCAAGTTCCTTGATTTTTTATCTCTTTTTAATTAAATCCATATCCGAATGTCACTTGGTCCTCGCTTTTCACATCATTTTCAATTAGATCTCAAATCATTTTCTCAATTTTTTTAATAATTAAAATGGAGGATAAATCTAAAAATAAAATCCAAAAAAATTATAAAAATGCTTAAAAATCATGAAAAAGATAAACTATGCAACATTCTACTTTTATTGAATTTTTGGATTTTTTTTTGAATTTTTAGTTTTGTATGGAAATAAACAAAGGGTAAAAAATGTGTTATTAATTACAGTAACCTCTTATGATCCATACACATTAATAGATTACATTATCCTAAAATGATCAAATAAAGTATTATCATCTAAGTAGATATGTCTAATTCGTCTAGTTTTTATATATATTATAAGTTTTGATATACGCGGAAATGCAATATGAGTTTTTTCATTTGTATATAAGTGTGAAAAATAGTATATTTTTATTAGATTTGTAATTAATCTATTTATATTCTTATTAATTAGATAAAAAAAAAGGGTCTAAATAACAGTTTAGGATTAGCCCATTTATAGAGGTGTTATAAATTTCTATTCCCACATAAATGTAATATGAAAGACACAACTGGGCATGCATTGCTTTTGTCGGTAAACACAAGTTTCAGAAAGAAAAAATAAATCTAATTGGCTATGAATTACTGTCTAGAAGAGTATTTCTTTTTCTTTGTAATAAAGGCATTATATTTTGTTTTTATAATCCAAAAAATGATAATTCTTGAACCATTTTTTCGTGAATATAAATTTATCTTAAAATCGAATATTTTAAATTCTTTGTATTTTTAAGATCGAAGAAGCAAACCTTAGTCTTATGATCCCATAAAAAAGTGAGAAAAATGGAATTTGAACCTTGTAATTTATGTTGGACTCATTCATGATATATGTTTATGTCTCTTCGATAAAGCTACATGTACAGTATTAATCGAATTTGGGCAATTAATCCTCTGATTTCTTGAATGCATTTTTTTCATCTTCCCAGTTGTGCCATGTGAGGTGCTAGTTAAGTAGGAATCAGGCATGCATGTACTAATTAAGATATATATATATATATATACACACACATGGAGGGGTACTGTTCTTGAAAAATATCCAGTTGCATAGAATGGTACTTGTTCTGGGGACAAAATTAAAGGAGAGGCATGCATGGACCAAACGAGGTAGGATGAACGCGTGGGGACAACACAAGAGACAAACTTAAAGAGGGGATATTTGTGGGGTTCAAATTAACAGTAATTACTACTACGTTCATGTCATGATTTTTACTCATGTACCGAAACTTCTAGCAAAGCTAGAATTTGAACATGTTATCCCTTGTATATAAACAAAAAGGCACTATCAATGAGCTTTATTATAGATGGTATCCATGTATCCAAACCTAATTTTAGGATTGGCATTAATCAAATTGATGCAAAAAATGTAAGGGTTATAATTGTATTGCTTTTCATAGGTCCGCTTTGATTTATTCGAATGAAGTGAATATAAAGGGATTTTTTCCTTCATAGAAGCAGAAGTAAGGACATATAAAAATATTTTATTTATTTGGGTATGAAGGGACTTTTGCCGTCACAGAAGTAGAAGTAAAAACGAATAAAAATATATGATTTATTTAGATATAGAGCGATTTTAGTCTTGGTAAAAATAAAAATAAAAACAGATAAAAACATCTAATTTATTTGAATAGAGAAGTAAATAAGACATCTTTTGAATCCCTATATATACGCTTTTTCAATATATATTTAAAAATAATTTGTGTAGTGTTTATCTAAAATTACTTTGATTAAATTTGGTTGATAAATGTAAAATATTTTATTTTTTATAATCTGGATACTTTCCTCAATTGAAATTGGTCATAAGAAAAAAAAATCGCATGAATCCCTAATAGAGATCTGCCTCAAATGAAAAATTGAAAATTGTCTCTTATTGAAATGGAAGCAGAAAAAAAAAAAAAAAAAACTAAAGACTATTTCTATGGAGGTAGATGCACACCGTCTCCACTTTTCTGGATCTTCATTGCCATCTCTGAGAGGATGTGTCCTTAAAATTATATGAATTTATAGATTTTTGAGATTATATCGAATTTAAAAAGAAAAAAAGATTTGTTCACCTCGTGTTGGTCTTATTTTGACACATGCATGTAGAAGTAGAACTACTACATAAACATTATAAGTGAATGGATGTGATTGATTCCTAACTTAAATGGTCCTGAAAGAACACAAAAAAGGAATGTGATTGCTAGCTGGCTTCTCTTGTCCAGTACCCAAAATTGACTACAACTAATATAAAATCAAGTTACACATCGAAAACATTTTGGACGTGTTTCACAAAGAAAGGAAAACATTGACTTGTATATATAAATTTCGTAGATATTCGGTAAGAAAAAAAAATTAATAAAATCAAATATTCGAAAAAGTAAAGAGAAATATGGGAAAAAACAAATGAAAAAAATTCTATTTTTCACAATTTTTTTTCTTGCAAATAAATAATCAATTGAGGATCGAAAGGGCATTGCTCTCACGCAGCCCAATAAAGAGAGAGAGAGAGAGAGAAAAAAACCTTTATAGAGGGATGTGTCATGTGCTACTGGATGGGGCATAGCTTGTTGGGCTGCTCTCCTCCTCCCGATCCTTCAATGACTTAAAAAAAAAAAAAACCCTTCTCTCGTCCAAATCACCAAGAAAATATTTATATAGAACAGAACAGCTATCTACACTGCAAAATATGAAAGAGGCTATTTTTTGTGCGAGAATCTATGAAGATCTAGTTCCACAAAAGAAGAAGTCGCTGGATTTATCGCACGAAATAGAGCATGTGATTGTGCCGTTAGGATCGACCATATGATGAAGTTGTTAGAGTTGTCACATGGTACTAATTAATATATTCTGTACAAAAAAGAAGAAGCTATGTTTGTTTAAGGAAAACAAGTTTCAAAAATTTATTTTTTTTTATTTTTCAGTGTTTGATGAATTAGTTTAATAATTAAAAAAATATATTTTATTTTTTTATTAAAATTTTAGAGTCAGTATTTATGAAAATTTATTAAATTTTTCTAAATATATCTTATATTATGAAATTATGAATATGTTTTTTTGAAGTTTTCTCAAAATTTGTTGATGTACCAATCTATACTGTTTTTATATTTTAAATTTTTGTATCTAACAAACGTTGAAATATATTTTTCAATATTTTTTCATGTAATTACGAAACGGCAAAAAATATTTTATTGAAAAATAATTTTCTAGAAAATAACTTCTTCAGGAATTAATTTTCCTAAAAAAGTTATTTTCCACCAAACAAACGGAGCCTAAATGATTACAAATTCTATGAAAACATCCACTATATATAACACTTTTTCTTCCCTAAAGCAGTTAATTCTTTTTTCTTACAACCTTTTACTTATTTGTTAAACTTACAAGTACCACTTTCTAAGCTTATATTTAGTTAACTTAATTATAAAGTCAAACATTTATTTTTCTTGTAAAGTTACATCCACAAGTAGTGAATATGGGTTTGCATGGTACAGTTGTGTGTTTTGCTTCGTGAGAAAATAAATCAAACAAAAAATAAAGCAAAAAATACAAAAATAATCATGTGACATAAAATTTACATGATTTGATAATTGTCTACTACACGACCATGCTAAAAAATCTTAACGGGGTTTTCAATCAGCTATAAATATAAGAGATAACGAGATTATTCTCTTGGTTCTACATAACACACTAAACTACGGAGCACATTTATGTCAATATTTACAACTTAACACTGCCATATGGGTTGTTTTGTACTTTAAGATGATATGTTGTGAGGTAAAAATAGTATTTCATAATTAATTATTTTGTTGTGTTTATAAATATTTAAAACAGTTAAATATTATCTAGTTAAATTTTGTTGCAATGTTTTTAACATATGAAGGACCAATAAATATGGTAACATTAAAAATATTTTAACAAATATATTTTGTTCATATTAATTGTTTTATTACTTCTTAAACTTCCATAACCTGTGTGCATAATGTTTATTAGACTAATTCTTAAATTCAATAAGGATGATAATATATATAAACATAAACATATCATTTCAAAAAAAAAAAAAAAAAAAAAAAAAATATATATATATATATATATATATGGTTTTTTATTAATAAACCACTAACATCTTTGGTATGCATAATTTAAGAAAATAGAGATATTATCATTTTCATTAATAAAAAAGAACCCCCTAATAAATAGCTGTATTTTTTTTATTAAAACCAGGGGTACCTACTCTGTTTCACAAGTAAAAAAATTTTCTTTTGAAGTAACACTTGTTTTGATTTCAAATCAAAACAAGTGTTAACTAATGCTGGTTTAAGATTAAAAACAATTATGTTATTAGCAAAAAAGTTGTTGAACATGATTAACAAACTAAAGCATTGAGTTGATCATATGTATGCACATGTTTCTATAAAAAGATTTCAAATTAAAACATAAAAAAAAAAGGGGTTGATAAACGTAATATTTTATTATTTTATAACCTGTATACTTTTTCAATACATATTTAAAAATAATTTGTATAGTGTTTATCTAAAATTATTTTGATTAACTTTAGTTGATAAACGTAAAATATTTTATTATTTTATAACCTGTATACTTTCCTCAATTGAAACTGGTCATAAGAAAAAAAAAATCACATGAATCCCTAATAGAGATCTGCCTCAAATGAAAAATTGAAAATTTTCTCTGATTGAAATGGAGACAGAAATAAAAAAAACTAAAGACTATTTCTATGGAGGTAGATTCACATAGCCTCCAATTTTATGGATCTCCATTCCCATCTATAAGAGGATGTGTCTTTAAAAATTATATGAATTTATAGATTTGGTTTTGGGAGAGTATATCCAATTTAAAAAGAAAAAAAGATTTGTTCACCTCATGTTTTTCTTATTTTGACACATGCATGTAGAACTACTATATAAAAATTAATAAGTGCATGGATGTGATCGAATGCTCACTTATATGGTTCTTAAAAGAACGCAAAAAGGAATGTGATTGCTAGCTGGCTTCTCTTGTCAAGTCCCTAAAATTGACTACCACATATATATATATATATTCTTGAATCTGTGTTTGTATCGATCGAAATTAAATTTATTACTTTTTGGACTAAACTAGCGCTAAAACATGCTTAGTTTTTGAACAAGTTTTTGCATTAATTGTGAGACTAAATCCACTTCTTTTGTGGGCTAAGTCAGCATCTAAATATATTTAGTTTTTAATCGACTACTCGGCCTTTCTCTTAGGATCAAATGAGCCCAAATTTGATATCATTAAAGAATAATTATGTTTAGTTATTCATAGATGGTAAAAATTGAATTTTAATTTTCATCAAATCAACACAATTTCTTTATTGGTAGACCAATTTATATTTAATCAACTTAATTATAAAGTCAAACATTTTATTTTGCTTATGAAGTTCCATCAACAAGTATCGAATATGGATTTGTATGGTATAGCTGAGTTTGTGTTCCTATGTGGATTGTGTTGTAGTTTACGATTAGCCGATTGTACGCATTATGCTATGGATCCGGTAGAACAAAATATTTTTAAATTTTTAAATATTTTAATTAAAATTTTTTATTTAATTAATTTTTTCTAATATTTTTTTAAATAAATTTTCTGCTTAAAAAACAAAATCATTATTCTTGACGGATTGATTTTAAAATAAAAAGTTCTGATAATTTTAACTAAAATATTAATCAAGAATTAAAAATTTTTAAATATATAATTTTCATAACATTGTATTCCAAAAAAATAAATTTATAACTAATGGACAAAATTTTACAAAAATTAATAAATTTAAAAAAAATTTATCTAATGCTAATGAGAAGATTAATTTTTGAAATTATATGCGCAACACTATAAGTAAATAGAACAAAAACATTTCATAATTTTCATAATTTTTTCATCAATTTTTTTCATTATAACTATTTTTTTGTGTGTTTTTCATAAAATTTCTACTTAAAAAATATGATTTATTCTTCTTTATTCATGAATTTTTAAATAAAAACTTGTAATAATTTAAACCCGAAATGTTAATTAAGAATTCAAAAACAAATATTTTAAAATTATAATTTTTTTTTATAAGAATGTATCCAAAAAATAAAGTTACAATTAATGTATAGACTTACATAAAAATTAACCAATGAAAAAATAAAAGTTTATTCTTATTGTGAGAAGATTTTTGTTTTTCAAGTATATGCATTTGATCTATATATATTTATGTACAAATAATTGATAAAATTAGCATAAAAACTTGTATTTGAATAATTGATTGGTTCCTTTAAAAAATTATTTTAATTATTTTATTTCAAATAAATTGGTTCTATAGTGTTAAAAAAATATTAATAGTAAATAATTTGTATTATGTTGGAAGATGTATAATTAATTTTTAATATAAAAACAAGAATAAAAATTAACTTGATGTGAATTTTTATAATAAAAATTGATAAAATCAATTTTAAACAATAAGAATAGTATATATTTATTTTAAAATCTTAAAAAATATAGTATATATTATATAATCATCAATTTATGTGAAAAAATAACGATTGATTTTTTAAAATTTTAACACCTAATTAAATAAAAAAGGAACATAAATTGATGAAAAAATCAAAGAAAAAAAGTGTGTAATGCATCAGCTGAGGGGTTAAAATTTTCATTTTAAAATTCTAAAATCTAAAAAATATAGTATATATTGTATAATCAACAATTGATGTAGAACAAAAATGATGATTGATTTTTCAAAATTTTAACACTCAGTTAAAAAAAAAACATAAATTGATGAAAAAAAACATATGTAGTACATTAGTTAGGGGGTAAATTTTTTATTTTAAAATTCTAAGGACCAAGATGAAATAATTTAGAAATTAGTGAATAGTACTTTGTGAGGAGTCAATAGTGAAACTCACTGTTTCAATACCCCAACTCTTTTAGTTATATAGTAAGGATGTGTTGTACGATGGAGATAATATCTGATAATTAATTATTGTGTTGTGTTTATAAATATTTAAAAAAGTTAAATAATATTTGGTTAACCGATTCTATTGCAATGTTTTCGACATATGAAATGACCAATAAATAATGTAACATTAAAAATATTTTAACAAATTTATTTTATTTACATTAAGGGTTTTATTACTTTTTAAACTTCCATGACATGTGTGCATAATGTTTATGAGACTATTTCTTAAATTCAAAAGTCTAAAAAAATAATTAAATTGGATGATAATATATATAAACACACCATTTCATATATATATATATATATATATATATATATATATATATATATATTAACAAAACACTAGCATCTTTGGTATGTATAGTTTAGGAAAATAGGGAAATTATCGTTTTCCTTAATAAAAAAGAACCCCACAATAAATGGCTGTACTTTTTATTAAAATCTGCAGTACCAACCTTGTTTCAAAAGTAAAACAATTTTCTATTAAAGTAGCACTTGTTTTGATTTTAAATCAAAACAGAAGTTGACTAAATACTGTTTTAAAACTACAAACAATTATGTTTTAAAAGTACAGAAATACTAAACAAACACTGTAATATATTCAATAATATTTATTTTGGTATTAATATTGTTTCTCCGTAATCAATCTAATGAATGTTTATTCATTTGAAATACTAATTAATTCCCAAGAGCTTAATGAGTTAGCATTAATTTTATTAGCAAAAAAGTTGTTGAACATGATTAACAAACTGAAACATTAAATTGATCATATGTATGCACATATTTCTACAAAAAGATTTCAAATTCGAACATGAAAAAAAAAATAGAACAGTGGAGAGCTATATACTGGCATGTTAAATAAAACAAAATATATTATAGTGTTTCGAGATCCAAACTGTGTAATACTAACCTCCTCGTGACTGAAAATAAAATAAAAAGTTACGGGCATGTTATTATCCTGGACAAGAATTATGCACAGCACGACATGCAGAAAATAAAAAAATAAATAAAATATAGGCTTTTTTAATAGACTTTTGTATAGCTGCTAAGAGCTAGCTAGGACCCTCTATTTGCATTACTTTCCATCTACCATCTTAATCATGAGCTGTGATTTAATATTTAAGGTTAGGATTCTGTAGCTAATCTTCTGATTAAATATAAGGGTTAATATCCTGATTTCTAGTTGTATAATGAGTCAGATTTCTAATATTTTCTTATTAAAAAAAAAATTCTCTGATATATTTTTATAATTTGAGTAAGCTAAGGAACCTAGGACCCTCTATTTGTATAATTTAATATTTTAGGTAAGGATTTTGTAGCTATACAAAAGACTAATTAATTCGTTTCTCAAAACTAGAGAGAATAATTTGTAATTTACTCCAAATCTTTTGGACAAATGAAATCTTCATTTCTCTCTAAGAAGTTAGAAAAAAAAAAGAAAGAATAATTCTAAGAGCTGAGCAAATGAACGGAGCTTGGGCCTTCCCTGTATTGTCTTGTGATAGAGAGCTAGCCACTCCAGTTCATCTTGAGTCTAGCCCGTGTAGTAATAATTGAACTGGACCTTCCACATTCCAAGCCTTATGGTGATCTGTCAATGTCCGCTTTTCAGTAGTATTAATTTTCATTTTTTCTTTATAATTTTGTAATTATGAGTACAATTTACAAGCTAAATATTTTTATGTTTTTTAACACATATAAAATTAACTAATTATCACAAAACAATATAATAAAATAATAATGAAAAAGTTAAGATAAATAAATTAAATAATCACTAGACGAGTAACCAAAATGCTTTTGGGATACTATTGAAAATGAGCGAAAATACCCATATTTAAAAAAAATGATAGAATAGCCCTTGGTGTAGAAAATAACCAAATTGCTTTTGTTTACTCGTCGGAGGTCGTTGTCATTCTTTCGGTCAACAATCGATGCATGGATCACTCCGCCTTGTAGGGGATGTCCGGGCGAACTCGTTGGTTCCGGAGATGGCCACTATCACCTAAGGGAGGAGGTCCACGACGGAAAAGCTTCAACCGATCTCCTCCTTCTTCGATTAATTTCGACTGAATTTATTAATGGTTTTCAAGGCTTACAATAGGACCGGAATAACCCCTAGGACTTGTTAGAGCTTCGTTTTGGTAATTGGATGACTTGATTTGGCCAAAAAAATGGAAAAGAAAACCCGCCACAAGCCACGAGTCATATAGGTCCGAATTCGTGATCAATTTCCTTCCTCCCTCACTATTTTCCATCATCTATATTGGTGGAGAAGGGTTGCTCGAAGGCTAGGGGAGGAGTTACGTGGTGGCAATTGCCATTGATATCACTAGACAATAGACGATTTGGGAGGAGCTTGTAACTAGGTCTAAACGCAAGTCGGATCGTCGATCTTTTCTTCTCCATTTCTCCCTCCTCTAGGGTCTTATTCTTCTCTAACCAATCGAGAATGACAGATCTAGTGGTGGGTTATCGATTTGTGATGGTGAATCAAAGTAATTTTGATCGAAAGACGACCGATTTGAGAGAGGAAATGTCAACAAGTCTACGGGTTGACTTGCCGATGACTCGGGTTGGTAGCATCTTTTTCTTTTCTTTTCTTTTCTTATTCTATTGGGATTTGTGTCCTAAAAAAATTAGAGAGATGATGAAAATAAACTTTCTACATTTTATTTATTTATTTATTTATTTTATGGTTAGAGGTGATGGGTATTTGTGGTTAGACTTGTTTTGTGATAGGTGAATAATAGATGCTCGATTATTTTGGTAGGAGATGGGTGATAGAGGCTAGGTTTTTTGGATAGAAAGATGAGTGATGAAGACTATGATTTTTGGGGTAGGAAAATAATAATGGAGGCTCTTAAAAAAGAAGCTATGTTTGTTTAAGGAAAACAAGTTTCAAAAATTTATTTTTTTATTTTTCGAGTGTTTGATGAATTAGTTTAATAGTTAAAAAATATATTTTATTTTTTATATTAAAATTTTAGAGTCAGTATTTATGAAAATTTATTAAATTTTTCTAAATATATCTTATATTTTGAAATTATGAATATGTTGTTTTGAAGTTTTATCAAAATTAGTTCCACAAAAGAAGAAGTCGCTGGATTGATCGCACGAAATAGAGCATGTGATTGTGCCGTTAGGATCGATCATACGATGAAGTTGTTAGAGTTGTCACATGGTACTAATTAATATATTTTGTACAAAAAAAAAGAAGCTATGTTTGTTTAAGGAAAACAAGTTTCAAAAATTTATTTTTTTTATTTTTCGAGTGTTTGATGAATTAGTTTAATAGTTAAAAAATATATTTTATTTTTTATATTAAAATTTTAGAGTCGGTATTTATGAAAATTTATTAAATTTTTCTAAATATATCTTATATTTTGAAATTATGAATATGTTTTTTTGAAGTTTTATTAAAATTAGTTCCACAAAAGAAGAAGTCGCTGGATTGATCGCACGAAATAGAGCATTTGATTGTGCCGTTAGGATCGATCATACGATGAAGTTGTTAGAGTTGTCACATGGTACTAATTAATATATTTTGTACAAAAAAAAGAAGCTATGTTTGTTTAAGGAAAACAAGTTTCAAAAATTTATTTTTTTATTTTTCGGTGTTTGATGAATTAGTTTAATTGTTAAAAAATATATTTTATTTTTTATATTAAAATTTTAGAGTCAGTATTTATGAAAATTTATTAAATTTTTCTAAATATATCTTATATTTTGAAATTATGAATATGTTTTTTTGAAGTTTTCTCAAAATTTGTTGATGTAACAATCATATACTGTTTTTTTATTTTAAATTTTTGTATCAAACAAACGTCGAAATATATTTTTTAATATTTTTTCATGTAATTGCGAAATGGTAAAAAATATTTTATTGGAAAATAATTTTCTAGAAAATAGCTTCTTCAGGAATTAATTTTTCTAAAAAAGTTGTTTTCTACCAAACAAACGGAGCCTAAATGATTAAAAATTCTATGAAAACACCCACTATATATAACACTCTTTCTTCCCTAAAGCAGTTAATTCCTTTTTCTTACAACCTTTTACTTATTTGTTAAACTTACAAGTACCACTTTCTAAGCTTATATTTAGTTAACTTAATTATAAAGTCAAACATTTATTTTTCTTGTAAAGTTACATCCACAAGTAGTGAATATGGGTTTGCATGGTACAGTTGTGTGTTTTGCTTCGTGAGAAAATAAATCAAACAAAAAATAAAGCAAAAAATACAAAAATAATCATGTGACATAAAATTTACATGATTTGATAATGTGTCTACTACACGACCATACTAAAAAATCTTAACGAGGTTTTCAATCAGCTATAAATACAAGAGATAACGAGATCGTTCTCTTGGTTCTACGTAACACACTAAACTACGGAGCACATTTACGTCAATATTTACAACTTAACACTGCCATATGGGTTGTTTTGTACTTTAAGATGATATGTTGTGAGGTAAAAATAGTATTTCATAATTAATTATTTTGTTGTGTTTATAAATATTTAAAACGAGTTAAATATTATCTAGTTAAATTTTGTTGCAATGTTTTTAACATATGAATGACCAATAAATATGGTAACATTAAAAATATTTTAACAAATATATTTTGTTCACATTAATTGTTTTATTACTTTTTAAACTTCCATAACCTGTGTGCATAATGTTTATCAAACTAATTCTTAAATTCAATAAGGATGATAATATATATAAACATAAACATATCATTTCAAATATATATATATATACATATATATATTAATAAACCACTAACATCTTTGGTATGCATAATTTAAGAAAATAGAGATATTATCATTGTCATTAATAAAAAAGAACCCCATAATAAATAGCTGTATTTTTTTATTAAAAGCAGGGTACCTACTCTGTTTCAAAAGTAAAACAATTTTCTTTTGAAGTAACACTTGTTTTGATTTTAAATCAAAACAAGTGTTAACTAATGCTGGTTTAAGATTAAAAACGATTATGTTATTAGCAAAAAAGTTGTTGAACATGATTAACAAACTAAAGCATTGAGTTGATCATATGTATGCACATATTTCTATAAAAAGATTTCAAATTAAAACATAAAAAAAAAAATTAGAATGGTGGAGAACTATATACATTTCGAGATCCAAACTATACTAACCTCATTATGATTGAAATTAAATTAAAAAAAAAATAAAAAGTTACTAGCTTGTTAAATATTCTTGGACAAGAATTATGCATAGCATGACATGTAGAAAATAAAAAATAAAAAATAGGTTTATTTTTAGGCTTTGATATGGTTGTTAGGAGCTAGCTAAGACCCTCTATTTGTATTATTCTCCATTTACCATCTTAATCATCCGAAGTCTGTAATTTAATATTTTAGTTTAGCATTATGTAGCTAATCTTTTGATTAAATATAAGGGTTAGTACCCCTAACTTCTCTTTATATACCGTACCGGATTTCTAATATATTTTTGTTAAAAAAAAAATAGCTTTTGATATATCTTTATAATTTGAGTTATTTTCTAATCTATTCTTTTAGTAGTAATGTGAGAGAAAGAATGAAATTCGAATGTGTTTTTACCGAGCTTTTACAGCTCTATATATATACAAAAAGTTGTATCTATACATGGTAAACCTAACTAATTATGGAAAAGTAACACACAAGAGTAATATACAAACTGAATTTTAGGAGAGATTTTCTATTAGCTTGCTTGACCAAATATCAATGCTTATGTCCTTGATTCATCGGTAAGATTTGCTCCCGTTGATATTCCCCCTTAATTTGAGGATGGTTGTTAACAAGCATCAATTTGTTTACAAGATATGTATGACACGCAAAAGACATGGACTTGGTAAATAGGTCGGCGATTTGATCATAAGAAGAGATATGAACAAGCCTAAGAATTTTATCATGAACCAATTCACGGATATAATGGCAATCAATTTCAATGTATTTAGTCCGCTTATGGTGTACTAGATTTGTGGCAACACCGATAGAGCTAGTGTTATCACCAAAAAGGGTGATAGGATGAGAACAAGCAATACCTAGTTCTAAGAAAAGTCATCGAATGCATATAACTTCAAAAGTGACGAGAGGACATAACGTGATACTTAGCCTCGGTAGAGGATTTTTACACCAGTTCTTGCTTCTTACACTTCTAAGAGATAGGAGAGTTATCCAAAAAGACACACCATCCTATAATAGAATGTCGAGTATCAACATGTCTAACATAGTTAGCATTAGCATATGCCATGAGAGAAAGAGACTTGTCAAAAGGAATATACAACCCTTAATCACAAACAGACTTTCAAATAACGAAGAATATAATAAAGAGAGGGAAGATGATGCCACCTAGGTTGAGAAACAAATTGACTAACAACTTGGACAATAAAAGAGATATTAGGATGTGTAATTATGAGATAAATGAGGTTACGAACTAAACGTCGATACAAAGTAGAATCTACAATAGGTGTACCATCATCTCGCTTTAATTTCAAAATTTGTTCCATTGGGTAGCACAAATTTTATTGTTAGTAAGATTGCAAGTTTGAGTAA